TATATATATATATATCGTATTCGTGTGATTAAATAGATCGATTATTTTTTTCCTAGAATATATTCTTATAAACATTAAATTTATCCTCTATTTTTTATGATGAAGATAATAAAAGGAATTCATTTATTAGAAGGATATAATTTTTTTTATAATAAATAGAAAAGTTAGACAAAATTTTAAAATGTTTATAACATTTTTAATAAATAAAAATAACTAATTTTCTTCAAAATAATAAATCCTAAAAATCCTTTTTTAAAAGTTGAAATAAACATTAAATTACTCAAAATTCTTATTATTAATTGGATCAGTCCTAATAAATTTTAAATTTTAAATTTTGAATGAATAAATATAATTGATCTTATAGCGAGAAGTGAGTCAATCTATATGCATATTTTGATTGACATTTTTTAGATTGAAAGATTTGATAATTAAGATTTATTTATTTTTAGGAAAAGAACCTAACGTCCCTATACAAGAATAAAGCTACGGGGAAACATGGTCCAAGTCCATGAGGCTTTAACGAAATAAATAAAGGAGAAAGATCAAAAGTTGTACTATCATATAATAGTGAAAGACCATATTTATTATTTAACTAAACACATACCGAATGAAACAATATATTAAATTTTGACTAAATAAAAAATAATATGAAATAAAGAAATTTCATTTGCATATATAATAAAATAAAAATCTCAGACACTCATGTTTTGGAATTAGGATGGACCAGGGTGTTTACAAGAAAAGAGACAACATGATCATAAATAAGACCAAATTTTAGTATCGGCTAAACTGGACATCATCATTATCCAAATAGTACTGTTAAATCTAAAAACCGTGCTAGTAGCACAAACCTTAAGCCTACATACATATATATATATATATATACGACAATATATAATTAAATAGTAATATTTTTTTTTTCATATAATTTGAACACCATATTTTTTTTTGGGTGTTTCATGTATATATCAAAAATTCAAAATTGTTATCATATATAAGGAGGAGATCGAATTATATGGTATTACATCATTTATAACGATGTGAGTTTTGTAACAAGAAACATCCCACCAACTTATATCTGAGTGAAATTGCATCGATAAACTTATAAAAATGTCAATTATATAATACACAGGCATGGGATAAAAGTTTATCTCAAAAAAAAAAAAAAAAAAGACACGTTATGGAAGTTTAAAAAATTATTGGAAAGTAGATGTGATTGTATGAATACGGGATTCAGACGGAATTATCAGTGGCTCGAAGAAGTTGCCTCGCGATTCATGACCCGCTGTCGATGGATAACCACTATATATATATATATATATATATAGAGAGGAGGGTTCAAACGATACCGGTGTAACTTTTACTAAGTGTTATACCGCTCAATAACTTTATATTAAACGTGAATTTTGAAAATCTAACCGTTAGATTGAAAGTTCATATCTCTTAGATCATATATGTCAAATTTTAACCCTCCTCATATATGATCTAAGAGATATGAACTTTCAATCTAACGGTTAGATTTTCAAAATTCACGTTTAATATAAAGTTATTGAGCGGTATAACACTTAGTAAAAGTTACACCAGTGTCGTTTAAACCCTCATCATATATATATATATATATTTTATTTAAATTAAGAGAATGAAATAACAGAATCAAATGAAGAGATAATGGTAGCATACACTAATATATTAACACCACCACAATCTAAAAAGGGGAATAGTAAACAAAGTATATATCGACCATTGTCTTCATGGTCCCAATGATACCTATTGTAGTAGGGAACCCCTACTCCTTCTTACGTCATCGCAATGACGTCAGCATCACCTTCTGATGTTGACACGTAGCTCAGTGAGGACTGAGGAGTCTTCGCTGCATCCTCCAAGAAGGTGTTCGGAAGGATCATTCCAAGTCTAAAAGCAAGAATATATATTAAGAAAATAAAAAAATAAAATAACACACAACTTTTTAATTATTCAGATATTATTATATGTAAATCCACTAGCAGTGATAAATATATATAAGGCCAAAATCTCTTGGTTTTTGCAATATCTTTGATCACAATGGAGTACTATTTTGGAAACCCTAATCCTAATCCTAACCCTTATTTCCATCACTCTACCGTAACAAACGTGGCATCTCCCTCCTCCGAGCTTATGCTATCTGATTATCTCGTGTTGGAAGATGGTACTGTTGATCATCATCAAGAGTCTTGGTCACAGAGCACAGAAACTGAATCATCGGAGAAAGCAACCTCCAGCGATGCCACTCATGGATTTGCTGATGCAACCTCCACCATCAATAACATGCGAGTTCTTTCTTCTCTCCATTTATTTTATTTTTCATTATATATAAAAAAAAAATGGCATACAAGTTATTTTATGTGTCAATTAATGGATTTTAATTGTTGATATAAAACGTATATTTCCTTTGACAGAAAGTGCAAAAGTGATGGAAATAAGCGAAAGAAGGAAGAAGTGAGTCAAAGCGTGACATTTAGAACCAGATCGCAGCTTGAGATTATGGATGATGGATATAAATGGAGGAAATACGGAAAGAAGACAGTGAAGAACAGCCCCAACCCAAGGTAATAAATAAATATATTCTCTTCTCTATTTCTCAAATTATTATTTTAAAATAATGATGCCCTTTTTTTTGTAAAATTACTAACAAAATAACTATCTTTATCAAAAAGAATTAGAATATTGTTATGGATCCATTGCTTTATTTGAATTTTCTTTCTGTGTCAAATGTACACAGTTTATTACATGACTTTTAATTAAGGATTGTGTAAGGATCTAAGTTGGTGAATTAATTTAGAAGCATGTAACTTAAACAAATGAATGTTGAGCCGTAAGTGGATATAGGGAATGATGTCAACCATATGCAGTGTTAACTAGGATGACAAAAACGTGGTGGCGGCTGATATATAGACACTAAATAATAGAGGGGGACAAGAACTCATTGGCCTTTAATACTTTATCCTAGTCCTACTTGATTGGAGTGAGTTATCAATGGACCCATATTTAACCATAAGATGTATGTATTTTTGGCTGCTTAAGAAGCAAGTGGTCTAGAATTAAATCATCAACTCATCAACGTGCTCACTCGTGCGTTTGTTTTAATTAATAAAAGTAGCAAGATGGTGTTTGATTTGCTAGTTAAGACAGTTAAGTATGTATGTTCTCTTTATGAACACAGGTGCGTGTCTTTGAGACCAGAACATAGTCACTCGCTACTCCCATGACAAGTTATTCGCACTTTTGCAGACTTGATTAGCTCCCATGTCTACTTTTTAGCCTAGAACAGGCACCCAGTTTGACATATTGTGCATGTAATATAATTCTTTTGAAATATAATTAATCAGATGAAAAATATTAGCCAGCGTCTTCGTGTTAATTATAACTTTAATTTTTAAAAAAAATACTAAAATATTATATAACTAACCTTATATAGAGAGAATTAGACCGATGCAAATTACATTAATTATTATCTTATTTAATAGCTTTATATAACATGATTTTATTGATCTAATATTGAAGTATAATTATATATTATATTAATTGTTTGTTTCAAATTTTATCAATATGCCTATAGTTAAAGAATTTTTTTAAATATATATTTTACAAATATTTATTACATTATTTATTATATATTTAAATGGAGTATTAGGAATTTTAGATTAAAAATTATCAAATTGTGAAATAGTTAGTATAACTTATTACAGCGTAATTAATTTGATACTTCCTCTCTTCCTCCCTTGCAATGAACTAATTAAGTTAATTCTTCCCTAAAAAATTGCTGAGTTTGAGCTATTGGATAATAGATTATGATTGTTGAAACAGGAACTACTACAAGTGTTCAGGTGAAGGATGCTGTGTGAAGAAAAGGGTGGAAAGGGATAGGGATGACTCGAGCTATGTGTTAACAACTTATGAAGGTGTCCACAATCATGAGAGCCCCTCTATCAACTACTACAGCCAAATGTCCTTAGTGCATCCTAATGATTGGGCGCTGCAATCTTCAGCAAACTCATCATCTATGCATTGACATGGTTATTCACATATGTCCATGTACTTGTCTTCCTTCTTAGTTCATATTGCTTTTCAATAACCATTACTATGTGTATATATTGATTATGCATGCCCATGAATGACACCTTAGATCGACCAACTATAAGCACCATCCCGGCCCCTTGCATCTCTCTCTAAATATGATCAACATGTAGCTCCTCGTGCGCAAGAAAAGGCTGGGGAATTGAGGGTCTGAGTTTGTAAGCTATTGGTTATCATTACATCCTCTAATTAATCATAACTATTTCCATATTGTATAGTATGTGTAATTAACTATATTATGTTGTCCAAGCCTTCATTTTGATGTTTATATATGCTTCCATCCAATCAAGTTAGATGTTTTTGCAAAATTTCTTGCGATTTTTTTTTGCAGGAAACTTTCCTGTAAATTTTTTTTTTCAGGAAACTTTCTTGCGAATTTTTTTTGCAAGAAATTTCGCAGGAATTTTCCTGCGAATTTTAAAATTCGCAAAAAAATATTATCCACGAAGGTATTACCTGCAAATAAAATTTCGCAGGAAAATTTCAGGAACGTTTCTTGTAAATTTTTCATAAAAATTCACAATAAAAGTCACATGTAATAAGAGAAATTCTAGCAACGCAAGCAATGAAAAAGAACATGAATTTTCTTGATTGAATTCAACATGATAAAAGAATAAAATGTGTGCTTGACTTATTCTAGAAATTATATATGTTGTGTAACGTACGGATTATTGGATTTGTGAAGGATATGGCCAAATAATGTATTTCCAACTACCTTTTTGCGCATTTTCCATCATCGATAATTATGAACGAAATCGATAACGTGCATTATTTTAGAAATCGTAATAGCAGAAAATCACTGTGATAACATCTTACAAGGTACAACCGATAAATGCATTATCATTTTTTGCTCAACAGTGGCCAGTTACGTGGGAAGGTATTAGTGGTTGTTGTTGGCAATTTTGTCTCTCTTTGTTGTTTCTAGTAACTAATTGTTCGAGTTAGGGTCGCTAGTGCAAGTTTTATAGGGTAGTTAAGTTGTCACCTCCAAATATATACAAGTATGCAGCAAATAACTGGATGGTACATATGATTATTAAATTCTCTCTCTAATTAAATGTATTATTATGAATATGCGTCATGAATGAAAAGAAATGACTGAAATGATGTCATGCCATAAATGATAGGGTATTGTCTGTTTTATTAGTAAACTAAACTAATCTAGTAAAAAACAAATGCATTATTTTTAATTCATATAAAATTTTCGTGACAGATAATAATTTATTTGATTTGGTCTGACTAATGTATATGCTGACAAAATAGTTCCAAGTATAGTAATGAATTCAATTAATCATTGAATTGCTTATCTCTGTATTATATATATATATATATAAAAAGTTAGATTAGTTTATTTTAAGAATAAATCGATAATTCATGTTTTACATTAAATTTTAACGATCAAATTATTAAATTTAAAGTTTTTAATATAAAGATTAAATCTGTAAATTTTTTTAAAAACATTAAAAATTATTTGATATTTCATTTCATTAATTGAAATCAATTTATAAAATAATTTTATGATTATCTGTCAATTTAAATTTGATAAAATGAAGTATCAAATTGTAACGACCCAGCTGGTCACTACACACTGCACAGCACACTCGAAACACCACACAGAAAGGAACAAGTGTATACATATAGGGTCTAGAATATATACATATACATGATCCAATCTGGATAGAGTTAAAGTGTACAAAATACATCAAAAGCTACTACACTAAGTAGCTAAACATCAAAAGATCCTAGAAGATCAACTCCGTCTACCAGCTACAGACTCACCATCAGCCACCAACCTATCCCTGCTCTGCTCCCATACATAGTATGATCATTGCAGTCCAAACACCATGGAAACAAAAAAAGGGTAAGCTAGTGTAAAGAAATCAACATACATATATTAATATGCGAATAGAAAACATCTACAGCTATCAGCACATCCACCCAGCTTATATAACACCACAGTAATTAAGCAATATCAGCACTGCTTAGCGGCTATAACAGCACCACAATAGTGGCTAACAACAGCACCGACATAGCGGCTATAACAGCACCACAATAGTGGCTATAACAGCACCGACATAGCAGCTATAACAGCACAGCACAGCACAGCACAGCTAAACAACTTACAACACAACAATATACCTCAAATACAGCTTAACATCAATAATGCAGCATAAACATCTCACAGCACATCAAAATCATCACTCAGCTCAACAACATTCATCATTATCAGCTTAAATCAACATAAACAACATTTGGCACAACTCAGATTATCAGCGATAACAGCTCAACTCAGAACAGCATATTCATCAATTTCAACTTAGTTCGGCATTAAAACAACATCTATCAACAACTTCAGCAAAATTTAACAGCTATCAGCATATAAGTCATCATCATCATACGCGCCCGGCGCACTCATGGTTGCGCCCGGCGTGGCACAACCAGAGAGCACCAGGGGCCAGCGCGCCTGGCGCAAGAGTACTCGCGCCCGGCGTGACCCATCCACAGAGCCCAAGGCTCTCATGCGCCTGGCGCAATTCAGCTTTGTGCCCAGCGCATGCCTAGGCAGAGACTCCAAGGAGTCTCACGCGCCCAGCGTGCCCAAACCCACGCCCGGCGCGGGGAAGGCAGAGACCTCCCCTAGGTCTCGCGCCCAGCGCAATTTAAATTGCGCCCAGCGCCTCCGTGGCAGAGACTCCCAAGGAGTCTCCACGTCCAGCGCGACATGCTCGCTCCCGGCGCCACACCAGAAAACACAAATCATTGTTAAAAATGATAAAAACGGTAACAACTATAAGCAATATTGACAGGTTGCCCCCTCTTCACTAAAACAGCCATATCTGGAGTTCTAGAACTTCTTTTGGGGTGATTCCAGCGCCATTAGAAATCTAACATCCAAGGTTACAACTTTCATGAAGACCATCAAGTCAAATTCTGAAAGGAAACATCACGCCCGGCGCATAAAAATCACGCCCGGCGCAATTCTCAACCAGAGACCTACAGAGGTCTATTGCGCCCCGCGCAACTATATTGCGCCCAGCGCAGTATCAATAACAAAAACACGAGATTCACATCTGATAGTGCGTCCGGCGTGGTTCTCCCCACTCCTGGCGTGATTCACACAGGGATTCCCCATTTCAAATCACGCCCGGCGCAAATTCAAACAGTAACTCTCACCAGTTCGAAAATTTTCATCAACCTGCACAAATCAAGTCATCCATACACATGCAATCGGTTCAAAACTCTACATTTTCATCCAACAACTCAAAAATACCAGCTTTTTCAACATGCAACTACAAACAAGGAAAATCCCCAAATTTTTCGTCAAACCCCGGAAAACCCCGAAACCCCATCTTCAGCAATTTCAGCCAAAAAGCATCAATTATCCAACAGCAAATGAGTTCCTGGACTCAGTTACAACCAAAAACAGCGAGAACCTAGCTTCCCTTACCTCGGTGAGACGATTCCGAGTTCCGGGAAGAGAAAAGGAAGAAGAAGAGAATCCGCACCCAGCTAGCTCCGAACGGTTTCAAATTTGTGAGAATGAACCTCCTTGTTCACTCACGGCTTCAGATAGAGAGAAAAGAAATCAGCCACAAAGGTCAAAGAATTTGTGAGGGAGAAGAGAGTTTGGGAGAAAATAAGTGAAAGAGAGTGAGAGTGAGAGTAAAGCCACGGGTCTCACACAAATAATTTTTAAATTTTTAAAAAATTTATAAAGTTGATTTGATACATGCATTAAGAATTTTTAATTTAACGATCGGATTGTTAAAATTTAATATATACCATGAATTATTGAGTAAAGTAACTTTATAAAAAATTATTCTTAAAATCATTAATATCCAGATTGAATATATTATATTGTTTTTAAGTGAATGAAATTTTGATTAAATATTAACTGACATTTTACTCAAAAAAAAATCTTTTAAAATCTCATGAAAATCCTAAACTATTACACCTCCTTAATCTTAAAATGTCCGTACAATTATCCTCTTTTAGTTTATGATTATTAACAAAAATATGTTGACCGAAAATAAAAACAAATCATGTGGATTTTCAATTTATTCTATTTTGGGCGTCTTCCACTCGTTTTGTTATTTTCCTTTCAAATAGCTTGCATATATACACTTATGCTATGTTTGGTATCGACCAAACAGCGAAGAAATAGTGTGGAGAATGTGAAAATAGGACATGAGAAATAAAATATCTGGTTTGGTTGTAATGAGATTGTCAGTTGAGAAATTAAAATGAGTGGGTCGCATGCGTTTTTTATTTCCTCAGATATATGCATGGAAAATTGTCACATGTATTCGAATGTGTATTGTATATTTTTTTTCTCGAATGGATATGCATAGCAATTCAAATGGACTTGCATTTTTTTTTCCAGGCTTGATATTCGAATATGGAGGAGCTTGCATTTTTGTTGGGACTGTGGTTAGAGTTTAATGTTTTATTTGAATGATTATGTTGTTTATTCAAATAAACAACATTCTAGTGAAATATTTATTTGTTGTATTCGAGTATCATGCATATTATTTTGAATATATATAATCAAATAAATAAGGTTGATTTATTCGAATGTAAAAAGAATTTAATAGAATAAATGAAATAAAAGAATAAACATATATAACTTGAAAGGATAAAATTAATTTTAAAATAATAATAATAAATTTTCCTCTCTGTCTATTTAAACTAAACAATTTTATAATATTATTCTCTTTTATTTCTTACCTATTTGTCTCAAACCAAACAAATTCATTTCTATCCTTTTTTTTTTACCTATTTTTATTTATTTATTTCTCTCTTTTCTATTTTTCTCTATCCTATTTCTCTTTTCACAAGCAAACACAACATTACTACCATATTAAAGACGCTTATTTCAATAAATAGTTAATTATGTTATTTATGAAAACAGTTTCTAAATACAAGTCAAGCCTCCTTTGACCCTCAAGTTTTGATTACTAAAAATAACATTTGCCACCTTGAGAGAAAAAAGTTATAAAAGAACGAGAAATATAACAATGATAAATGATATTATGACTTGATAAGGGAATAAAGAAAAACGAAGGATATCAAATGAATATTTGTAATATTTGGATATACATATATTGTTCATTATTACTTAATGACGTGAAAATTTTCAGACTGTAATCTTCTCTTCAGTGTCCAAGTTCAATTCCAGCCAGAGTACATAAATGACGTCCAAATGTGGCCCAAAATCGGGTTGATGAACATTAACTGCACATCTCTCCCTCGTAACTCTCGTATCGTTTCATGTTCATTCCATAATTTTGAAGACAAATAACTGAACAACTAATATGCCAGTGACAAACAAATCGGACACTGAATCCACAAAGGAGAATCCATTAGAACTATTCTTCAACTTTAACAAGCAATCATTTAAATTGAGACACTTGTGATGATGTGACCATGTATGAGTGCTTTAGCAACGACTCACCAGTGAGCCTTATCCATCTGGTCGTTCCACTATTTGAAAGCCTGCTTTAAATTATAAACAATGAAACATCCATCTTGTTGCTCTTGAGCTCAAGTCAGGCATTCTCTGTAGCAGATGAGAAGGTCAAGATGGGTACACCGGACACTAGTTCACCTCACCAAATCTTCACATTGTAAATACAATTCCAATACTGAGTAACACATTCCTAACTCTTTCATCCAACAACTCT